ACGGCAAATGCCCGAGATGGATTATATAAATGGAACTTTTCATCATTTGATCAAAAGCTCAAAATATTTTTATGCGCCTAATGAATCAAATTTTGTCATTTCCAAGAAAATTCAGAGTAAGCATATTTTGATGATATGTTCATGTATGGTTGAACAGCGGATGAGCACCTCCAGCATGTGCAAAACATTTTTTAGGAGCTTTGTAGAAAACAATCATTTGTTAACACTGTAAAGTGCGATTTTTTGGTCCCTAAAGCTAACTCTTCGGGTTCTATAATTTCTGCTACATGAATGAGGTTGGATCTAGCCAAAATTAAGGCCATTTGAGAGTGTCCAAGGCCTCAATCCTTTACCCAAGTGCAACAATTTCATAACTTGTCATCTTTCCATCATAGGTTCATTAAGAAATTCAGCTATATAGCTACAATGGTATTTGAATTGCTCGAATTGAGCCAATTCAATTGGACCAAACGTGCCAAAGAGTTTCACTTGTTATGACTGATCATAGTTGCAGCTGTTCTAGCTCTATTTGATTTGAAGTGAGTGTTCCACATTGAGTTTGATGCATCCGATGTCTGCATTGGGGAGGTAGACAGTCAAAAGGGTCATTTGATTGCATTTTTAGTTAAAAACTCCATGAATCCAAAAAAAAATTATTCTACCTACGATAATGAATTTTACAAAGTGAAAGCTCTTCAATATTGGAGCCATTAGTTACTAGTTAATGAGTTTGTTCTTTTTACAAATCATAATGCATTAAAGCACCGTCACAACCAAAACAAGTTGAAGGGAAAGCATACCACCTGGGTAAGTATTTATCATCTTTTCACATCATTTTCATGCATAAATCTAAGAGTTCAAACCAAGTTGTTGATGCTTTAAGCAAACAAACAATGGTGCTCCCTATATTGCAGATAAAAATTTTTGGATTGTAAATGTTGAAGGAATTATACATTCACGACAAAGATTTCCAAGATATGGCAGAAATGTCATCATCAAACTTATAAAATGTGTTTCACATTGAGGATGGTTTTCTTTTTCTGGGCAACTGCCTATGCAACCCCAACTGTTCTACTAAAAAAGCTATTTAATACAAACTAGAGGAGTTTTCCATAGAAATTATGGCAAACAAAATATTTTATTTCACCGCATCAAACAAAACAACACAACACAACATAAATGTTAAACACCTGCAATTCGAGAGATAGGCGATCCAAAACAACAATATCATAGCATAACCTAACCCTAAATATAATAAGCCCTATTTATACCCCACAATAATAACTAACAAATGACTAAATTACCCTTTAGCTTTGAGCCTAACATAAGCCTTTAAATTTTTTTGCGGGCTCGGCTCCGATTTATCATTACTTCCCTCCCAAAAAACACTTTGTCCTCAAGGTGGAAGAAAGTAACATAAGTCGTATGGCTCCCATGTGATGTCCTCATCTGACAATTTTTTTTCATTTAATAAGAAATTGGTAATGACCCTCATGAATTTGAAATGCAGTCCTGTGCATGCCTTTCGAAGGCATCTGAATTTGATGGTGTTCTGACTTTCAATTCCAATAAATCTCAGAAAATATCGCAGCCCCAAACAATTCATCCAATATCTCATCCATCATTGGAATCTCTATCATCTCTGTATCATGTGTCTCTTCCATGCTATAACACTCGATCAAGAATCTCAGCTCTGCGTCCTGAATTTGCCCTCACCAAGATTTAGAGTGTGAACAAAGAATTGCATAAATGGGGTCAACAAGAAGCGCTGCCCTGTTGTCTCCCTCCTAAATACTCTGCAATGTCAAAATCAGTTACTTACAAACTCCCCTGGTCTTTTTCACCTGTCTTGTTCCTATCATTACACCTGAAACGCCTTTTGCCCGAAAATTTTGTAGCAATAAAAGGAATTGGCATGTTGGATGCAGCCCTCTATTGGGGTCTCACCCACCATCGTTCCCTTTGCTAGACAAAAATCCTTTGAATCAATATTCTCCAACCCTGAATCGCACCTCATCCTGTTTTGCATGCTGCCACTTGTTCCAAACATTCCGATGTCACACATTTTCCTCCAGATGTTGTCACTCGAATCATCTCCCGACTCCTTTGCTAAATCCCACATGCTTCTGTTTATTTCAACCATCTTGAATTTCCACTATTCCTTTCAAGTTCTGCAGCTTGAGTCTGCTCCTAATTCCTTCGCTAGATCTCACGGCTCCAAATTCTCCTGAAGCAGCAATGTTGCCCTGATATTGTACAAATCATTTTAATTGTTGTCACTCTCATCTGCTTTTCATGTCGTTGCTCGATTCCAAAATGGGCGACTGCAATTTTATGTGAAAGTCCACGATCTTCCTCATCATTTCTTCCTAAACTATGAATCCCCCTCTATGGAGGAGAGTCGTCTCTCCATGGATGAAAAATGCTCCATTTACTCCCATGATGATTTTCGGTCCAGAAAGTAAAACTTCATGATGTTAGCTTCCTAGGTAGCCCGAATTGAAATTGTACCATGAGGTCATAAGCTCCCGTGGCTTCCAAAATCGCCCGAATCGTGGCTGTATTGGTAGGTCGTAAGCCTCGATCGCATCTTTGGCTTCCCAAATCGTTTGAATCATGGGATTCTTCTATGTGATCCATTGTCGGCTTAACAGCTAGCTCGTATCACACTTTGTGATCCCTTCGTTAGCTCAAATCGTTCGCTATTAGCGACTGTATCATGAAATCCCTTCATGAAGGTGGCATGACAGAGATATGTATGTCACAATCCCATCTTTGGCTTCCTCTCTAGCTCTTATAGCGATAAAGTCTTAATCGTGAGGTTATATGGACGCCTTGATCCCGTTGTTTCCCCCTGAGTTGATTGCCCTTACACCAATTCGATACAAATCAGAGGAATTTTTCACAAAAAATAGGGCAAAAAAAATTTTTTTTTCAACACAATAAATAAAGATAAACAATTACAATTCGAGATGTACGCAATCTCTTTGAAAACTTAATCCTAAGACTCAAGATAACAATCTCCTATCATAACATGAACCTAATCATAAGATGCCCTATTTATAGCCCACAATAATAACTAAAAAATGACTAAATTTCCCTTTTAGCTTCACACCTAGCATAAGTCTTCAAATTCTTTCACAGGCTCGGCATCAGTCTAACACTATCCTATTTGAATCTCATGATGGAGGCTTAGTCATACATTTCGGTTCCGACAAAACCATACTGCAAGATAAATTCTATTAGCAGTCAAATACTAGAGGCATTGATCGCTATATCAAGAAATGTCTTTCTTGTTGGCTTACAAAAACTCGTCATAATAATGGATTCTATCTTCCACTTCCAATGCCTGAAAGACAATGGACTAGGGGTGCCCAAAATTAGCTCAGCATGTCAACTCCACCTGAACTCGACACAAAAAATTAAGGTTCATCCGAATAATTTTCGTGTCGAGTTCGGGATTCCATAACGATTTATTTTTTTTCGAATTGGGTTTGGTTTATCCGTCAACCCAAATTTGACTTTAAACCAACTTGCGAACCCGAAATTGATGTGAAATTGACTCGAAGTTGGCCTGAATTGACCCAAATAGTTGTTATGTTTTATGTTAAACGAGTTATATGAATTGGATTCTGATTGGCGGGTTGAAAGCAGGTCGTGTTTGGGTTGAACTTTTTTACCCGTTCAATATCCAGGTCATGCTCAGGTCAAACAGTTTCAAGTCGAGTCAATTTAAGGTTAAACCCAGACGCCAACCACAACACCCCACCATGTTAATGTTTGGATTTCGTCATTGGCCACACATCATGTAATAAGAATTCTATCATGGTTGGCAATTTGTATTAAAACATTCCTAATAGAACAAGCCATTTTATCAACATAATTATTTGATTCAGTTTCTAAATTCAACACAAATCTCACCAATCTATTTTGGAAAGGTATCCACACCTCAACTTTAAAATTTTCATCACATCTAAGGACAATCTCATTTATGATTATTTTATATTTGTAATTTATAACATAGTCACTATTCTATGCATCATTCTACAAGATCCAAATGCAACTAATAATCTTTTCAGAACTAATCTAAGATACATAAACACCTATGTCTTATGAAATACACTGACGCATTCTACAAGCTAGTAATTAGAATATACCCCAATCAAAGTGTACATACTGCTAGAAACTAATACACTTAATAATAAAGAGAGTCATAAGATTCCAATAAATTGCAATTGGCAAGAGCAACTATTCTCGTGTGCTAGTCTTGATTAAAAAAAGTTTCATATCTAAAGAGCATACCATGCTGCACACGTTAAAAATAAATATATTCAAATTGTCATGGATAAAAGTTATTATTATGATCTAAAATATAACATGTGTAAATTATTTGAAGTTGGAATCCACAATCTTTATTGATGTTATGTTTTCTTATCATTGAGAATATTCTCTTTTATTGTTCCCTTCATTTGCCTATACATAGGCACCTCTATACTGCTACTATAACGACAACTAAATAAAGATGCAGACATTTACAATTATCTCTTCGCTCCAATAGTTTCAGTCCACAAGTACAATTGGTTGCAGTACTACAATAGTAACTAAAAAATAACAAGTCTAAGGGGATTTACATTTATACCACACAATTCTCATGTATTTGTGTATCTAACACCTAAATTTAAATATTTACTTATATTACATTCAAATCCTTGACATCACATCAAAATATCACAATATTATTTTTTCAAATGAAATAAACCTTTTCAAACATATATTTGATTTCATTATAAAAGTATCGTGTTTTATCTATAAATATTAAACTTTAGGTGTTAGCTATAATAAATGCATAAGCATTGTGTTATATCAATTTAAATTCCCGTTACTATTATAAAGTATAACAACACAAGTAAAAATTATAAGTAAAAAAAAAAAAGCTTTGTTAATTAATAATAAAATCAATTCTAAAAAAAGAAACATGAGATTTTGCAACTAAACGTCACCTCCAGTAGCATCAAGTAGCATCTTCAGCATTGACCGAGGTCCCAAGGTAGTGCGAATTATATCAGCAACAGCCTATTAAATGAAATATAAGTATATCTGATCAAGAAGAAAATAACAAAATATAAAAGCAGATAGGAAAGGAATAATATAATAATGTTATATGACAATAGTAAGCAATAATAATAATTGCTTCAACATTGTCCACAAGAAATATGCAGGCATCACACATGCCCCTAACTACACAAATTAATGTGATGCATAACTCTGTTTATGGGGGTTGCTTTCAGTGATCGATTGTGGGTGCCAATATTGATATTCACGGACAACATTTAAATGGTTTTGTTTCAAAAACAAAAATTCTTGTGGTTAGGTTGTAGTATGGTTAGGTAATATCTTGTTCTTGTTGCTCGTGCAAGTATTCTGCGCTAGTATAATTTTAACAAAGCTTGCGCTTTTTGTGATGGAGCTTGCACCAGCGCTACCGATACATACTAATGAAAACAAATAGAATAATCTGATCACAAAGAGTGCATCGACAGATCAATACATACAATCAAGGCACACAAAGCGAGCCTTTTGCACCCCATAAGTAGGCCAATTGCCCTAAACAAATATTTTTAGCTCTTGATTGAAGAATAAGGCTTTGAGGATGGTGGTTAAGGTATGATAGAGAAGTAGAATGCATATTTGCTATCTTATTTAATTTCAAACTCTTAATTTGATGGACACTTTCACTCTAAATGATTTGTGTCATTTGATTTTTAAGTTGGAATATGAATGAAATGAATATAGGCTTTGAATTTAATTTTTCTATTAAATTAAATTTTAATAATATTTTTTACAACAAATTAAAAATAAAAAAACTAAAGAGCTTACGCCCTACCCCTAGCAAGTAAACTTAAAAGCCTTACACCTCTGACTTCGAAAACATTGCTTAGGGTATCTTTCAACCCGTGCTCTCCACCATCTCAATCACCATAGAATATTGCATTTCAAAAGACAAAATATTGACACAAATAACTTAAAACGAAACTTTATTGCTCTACGTGCCGTTGTTCTTTTAAAATAGATGTAAAATAGCATATATTCTAGATGCCTCCTAGCATAAGAGAAAAAACACTTTCACCAATGAATCAAACCCTCGGAGTCATGATATCGGAACATGCACACAAATATGAATAGCATATGATTAAGATGCAGTGGTTTGATCCAAAGTAAATTGCAACTTATTATTATAATTGAATAAAATAAATGGAAATAAAAACTAAGCAAATTTAAAATGCAGCTATTTGATCCAAAGTAAATTGGATATGTCAAAACCCAAAAATGCAACTCTTGCAAAATTACTAACGATATACACCACACAAATTCAAAACAACAATAACAGAACAGCTTACCTTTGAAGCATGTATGTTGGCATGTTGAACCTTATTTCCCTGCTCCCTCTTTAAAGAGTCTTCTGCTCATTACAAATGCCAAAATGTAAGAAACATTCAAAACGAAGTCAAATAACTTCTAGCATAAAAAAAACACAAAAAATCAATAATAGCACAATCAGTAATATTATGGTGAAAAATTCCACAAGGATTGTCAAGAAGGGGAATAAATCTTGCGCATATAATATTCAGAATTTTCATAAAACTTCTGCAAAAAAGATGCTTACCCGATTATGCTCAGCTTGACTTTGGGAAATGAATTTGCATAAAGCCCCCTCAAATATAAATAGTAATTAAGTCTCTTATAATTCAAAACCTCATAGTATATCCGTGAGTTTATTCACGTAGTAACTAGAAATGGCCATATAACAATCACTGTTCTTTAGAAAGCTGGATTTTTCCATTCATTTTTTAATGAAAATGATCATAACTTCTCATTATTCTGCGAAAATTTAGACTGCCTCATTCAATAGAGAAAATATGAGTTGAAAACTATATGAGAAGCGCAGGCATATCATGGGAAATTAAAAAATTGATTTGTGTAAATCACATCTGTCAATGACACCAAACGGCTCGCAGCATGCCACACCGAAAAATGCTCCCCAGCGCTATTTGCATGGTGCGGCATAAAGGGCTAAGATGGTGCGTGTTATTTACGCATTGATGGGCAATCACACATGAAGTATTGTCCCCATGGAAAACTACTTTGATTCGGACATAAAATTAATTTTAATATCAGGCATAGATATTTAATTCATGTTATTTTAATTAAGCTTTTGCTAGATCTTTTATACAACAAAAAAATTTAAAATTTCTAAATATATAAATTTTGCTTAAATGAATAAAATGATAATACTAAGCTTTCTAAAAACCATATTCCAAAAAAAAAAAACTATTTTGTCAAATGCATGATATACAATTAAATCCACCTCTCGGCTCTATTTTGTCAAATGCATGATATACTATTTTGTCAAATGCATGATATACAATTAAATCCACCTCTCGGCTCTCAGCTCAAGGTCTAAATTTAAATGTTGAAGCATTGATGTAAAGAACAGCCTCAATCATGAACATCAGTCAGTGCATATGCTCCCCTGATTTAAACTGAGTTTCACTAAATTACTAGAAAAATCATAATGTCCAAAAATAAAAGCAAATCACGAGCCAAAACTCTTGACAACCATGAAAAGCCCCATTTGCAACAACCAACTCAACAAAGAGCTTAATTGTTGGCTTTTTAAGTTAAAAAGTATGTTTCCATGAAGGACGAAAAACGTGGATATATATATATAAAGAAAAATTATGCGTAGATAAGCAAAATAACTTGTTTACTATAAAGGAAAAAATTAAATGAGATGAGGTGGTAATTCACTCTCCCAAAAGTATGAAACTCGCTCAACCAAAACATTTCAGAGATCACTCACCCATCATTACAATGACAAATCACTCAGCCATATGAGAAAAATATTCCCATTCTCTCATCCTAAAGCTCTCCCTAAAACCCTCTATATCCATGCATCTTTATAGCCTCAAAAAGAACTCTTGGCCTATTAAATAAGGATGTTAAAGAAAAACAATTAGTGGTTGGAAAGTACAAATAAACAAGTCAAATGATAGGAGATGGGTGATAGGTGATAAGTGGTAAGTGGTAAGCAGTGGTTGTGAAGTTCGATATCAATCAAATAGACACATCCTTCTCCATTTTTGCTATGGAAAAAGTCGAGTGTCAAGGCGCAAATTTGATGTAGGTGGGATAAAACCTCACATCATTGGCAACAGCATCCAAAGTCTTCACTAAATAAACTAGCTAGCACCCAACAACATTCTCTCTTAATTGAATAAAACTCTACATTATGATCAATATCTAATAAAGTAACTCCATCATAGTTGACCATTGCTAATGGAAACGCTTGAGTCAATATTTAGAAAAACAATCTCTGATGCCAATTTAAAAAAGAAAAAAAAATAGAGAGAGTTACCCACTCATAATATTTAGGGAATTTCTTGTCCATAAATTAGAAAAATAAATCAACCATTATGATGGGTAATCATTTACCAAAAATAAAGAAACCTCACTCTTTCATCCTTAAGTTCTCCCTATAACTAATATATATCCAGCCTTTTATAGGCTCAAAAATGAACTCTTGGAAAATTAAAGGATGTTGTTGGAAGAAGAATGGTTCGTGGTTGGAAAATATGATTAAATGAGGTGGATGGTAGGAGGTAACTAGTGGTTGGGAAGTGCATCAACCATTCAATTGATACTTCATCAACAAGTTTACTAGATTCAGCAATTTGGTTGGTTGTAGTTAAAAATCCAATATGGGTTTTAAACTCTACAAAAACCTTCAAGTCCACTCAGAATTTACCATTACATTTTCACCCTCAAAAGGACTGAAAATGAAATCATAATTTTGAAACATCTTAGATACAAGCAACCAAATGAGCCGTGAGAAGATAAGACCCTAAAATCATACAAGTTTTTCTTAACAAAAAAAATTCGGGAAAAAAACATCAAGTTGCATGTAATGTGACTGATCTATAGAGCAAGCATCACGCAACACATGAATTATAGAGACCACTAAGCATGTCAAAAATTTTGCCTTCAATTTCAGCAGCAAAATGTACATCAACTAGTAAATATTATATCACTTCCCTCTAGGTAGCACGGCAACAGCAATCCATTTTGACCTCGTAGAAAAGCTTTCCATTCCTCCCATAGGTCTAAAACCAAACCTTCACCTGGCTTTTTTAAGGTTTTCAACTAGATAAACCAAAATGCGATAACATGCACAATTTTACTATCGCTTTGGAAATAACCAATGACCTCCACCTAGCTAAATCTAACTCTAATAAAAAAGAATATTTTACTCTTGAAATAGCAAGAAACCAATCAACTCCACCAAATCCAAATTGGATAAACACACAAATGTAGTCTAGCAAAGTAAACCAACAGGCCGAAGTACATTTTCCGTCAATCATAAATAAATGAAATGACTGTGCTCCGGTAAGAACAATCATTCATGGGGTTGGAAGTGCCCTAATCACTAACCACGAAACGCTGAATAAAACTGGTTTTGCACACAGCATACTCCGCTCCAACCAACACTAGAACGATGCGGTTGAATGCTATATATCAGGAAAAAAAAAACGAAAGCGAGAGAGAGAGACATAAAGAACAACACTTTCCAAAGGACTTACTTAAAACGAGAACCGGCGCGTGCATTGCAGCAGATATTGAAAAATAGCGTGAGGAATGAGTGGATGAATGCCCACTTTTGGCCGGAGAATTCGCCGGAAACGGCACAGCTTTTTGATTTTTCTCGGGTACGCTCGTGCTTTCTCGAGAGTTCTGTTCGATGAGTAGTGACCGGCAGACGGTGGCGAGGTATGGAAACCCTACGAAATGAAAATCAGAATGAAAAAATCTCACGTGAGTAGAGCGTGCGATTCATGGAGCCGGTTTTTTTTAACGAATCTTATCGGTGGCTGCAGGGGTTTGCAAAAAATACCATTTAAAGTTTTCATAAAAATAACTTAATTTGCTTTTATTCAATTTTTTAAAAGTCATAAATAAAATCAAATTGAATATATGTAAGATTTTGTGATTTATCTAATAACGACAATTTTTTTTCCGAAAAGTAAAACCTAAAATTCAATATGTGTGATTCAAATACACGATCTTGTGGTAGATAATTATATCATTCACCTTAATATCATAGATAGATATGCAATCAAAAACTTATTATTGACCTTAAATTTATAGCCTGAAAGTTAAACTGAATATGGTTAAAATTAAATAAAGTAAATATATAAATTTAAATCAAATTTGTATGGGTAAAATCACTAGGGCTGACTTCACATCAAGTTAAGAGTCAGTCAATTAGTTTAGCAAAATAGCTCAATCAAGAAAATTGACCAAGATAGCACAGCCTAGCGATTTGGCCCATTATTTATCGATTGACCAAATAAGTCAATCAACTATAGCAAACTATGCAGTGAGTTCTCCCAACACATTGGAACAAGTTCGTCAACTAGCAACATGCATATGTCACATATTTTGCTATTTGGTCCCTACATATTACATACCATTTCCATATTTTATATAGGATACTTTTTTCCTTGTGTAGTGTTGTATGTAGCCTGCCTCGAGCTAGGCCAAGCTATAAATAAATGTAGCCCCCATGGGATATGAGAGAGACTTTTGGGAGGAAATACTAGTTTGGATAATATCTGAGAAGAACTTAAGAAGAGTAATTCAGCTTAATATAGCTTGGCAACTATTTCGCTCTTATTTTTAATTTCATTATACCATTTAGAAAATAAATTTTTGTTGTGTCAGTAGTAACTTTATCAACTTCTTTATTTTTATTTGCTTTTTTGGATTCTCTCTTCAAATAGCAACTCTTCTACTTCATTTTTGAAAACTCTTTTGTCATCTTCTAGTCAGCTTTAGCCAAATAATAAAAGGACTACCATGTCATTGTTTGAGTTTACATGACAAAAAGGCGGAGGTCCTCAAAAATGAAGATGATAAATTATAGGGTTGAGTTGATAGACGAGAGAAAGCGCTTCTTTAGTAGATTTGTACTAATCAACGGTTAAATCTACTCAGATGGATGTCTGGTTCTTATTACATGCTCAAAATTTTCTCTCTTATTTGTTGAAATTTCTTCAACATGACTGCTACCTTTTTTTCTTTTTATGATAAAACTCAACTTATGTAGGAGTTTATGCAATAACTTTGTCTTTTTTTCTTAAGAATCTCTTCTCTATTTTTCTTTATTGCCTCCTTTTTTTTTGTGCAGTATTTTCCTCTTTAGTTAAGGGTTTGGCTTTGTCATGAAGAGAATGACCAAAAGAGTAAGGTTTCATGGGTATTATTATTAGATTATTAGAATTTCTCCTCTAGAAGATGAATTCTCTATTATATATGGAGAAAGAGAAAGGAATCATACCAAAAGGAGGCTCAACAGCCAAAACGGTGATTGTTTTTACTTCATGTTTTACTTATTCCAAAATAATAATGAAGAATGTTTTGTAAAAAAATCATTCAATAAAAGTTTCAACAATAATTCTTGAATTTACCTTCAAACCCTTTTCAGCCAATTTTTTTGTTGTAGTTTGGTCGCCCTCCTCATCTTGGAATGAGGCGATCTCTTTTTTTGGCAAAGGAGATTCACATATATGAGCTATCAAAACAAAACAAAACAAAAATGAAGAAAACAACTACAAGGGTTGAAAGTTTACTTCTAAAGGAACTCGACAACATTCTCTCAAGCATCTAACATGAACTCACCACCCACTATTAAATAGTTTGAGCAAGTTAACTTCAAGTCTCTTCAGAATTCCAAGAGCTTGTAACCCAAGTTGGTCATCTCTATTTTCAACTCATCATAAGAAATTCTCAACTCTAACATTTTTACTCTTACCTCATTATAGTTGGTATAGTAAATTGGCCTTGTCCACAGTAGAGGCTACCTTTAATTCCAAGAAGAATTCTTTAATTATTCTAATACTTTGAACATCTACATCTATTTGTGGAGACACCGATGTTAATGTATATTCCAATTGAATTTCCTCTCATGATAATGAAGTGGCGAATTTATCCACATCAGTAGCGTGCACATTAGTAGTCACCCTGCTATTCTCAATATTATTCATACTTCACTCTTCAGATGGGACACCTACAACAAACAAAGCACAGTTGTGTGTACTTAAATTAGTCAATTTCTAATGAAGCATATTAAAAAAAAAATCATACTTCAAACGAAGGAACTATCACTCCTAATCTCGTAGGGACCTTGAGGAGAAGGGTCAACTTCCTTAGAAACATGTCACTCAAGCTCCTCCCCCTTAGGGATGAATTGCTCTTCTGATGGAGCATCTACTTTGTCAAGAGCAGTACATTAACCACTTTCGACTGAGCATGATGGTCAATTGATCGTTTATTGCTCATAAGCTTAGTAAATGTAAACTGTATTGTAAAATAAACTCAAACTCATTAGACCTTCTAGTGAGTTAATTCTATAACTAGCATTTTTAAAATAATGATATGCCTGTTGATCCAGATTTGATTGGAGTTGGATTGGACTTGACATACATTTCTCTCAACTCATCCAACATCATATTTGGGGAATAACACCCTAATGGACATGACATGCATGTCTCTTAACTCATCCAACATCACATTTCCCTTATGTCATCCAACATCATATATCTAGCATATAAATTTTAAAAAACTTATATAAAACTCTAGTTATTAACAATATATGAATATAATACTAATATTAATTTTATTTTTTAAAAGAACGCATAATATTTTGATGTGTTTATGATATTAAAGTATTATAAATGTAAATATCAATATTTAAATGTTAGATATATAAATAGAAAATAATTGGCTGGTATGTATCTATATCCCCCTTTTATTTTTATCATAAGTTCTTACATTTAATCAGAACCAAATTGAATCGTGATTCAATCAATTTCATTTAATATTGATTTAGTTTTAGCTTATAGTTAATGACCATTTGTGTTTAGCTTTAAATCATGATTGATAGGATTTTGCTTGTCTGAGATTTTAATTTTATAAAATTATTTTCCAATGTTGTTTTAGAAATAAAGAACTTTTTTTCATGTATACTAACACGTATGCGACTTAAATTTTTATGATCTCACGAAGAAAAAAAATCATCATGATTATCTTTTTAGAAGTTAAAATGCATTTTTCATGCGCAATTTTATGACACCAATATATTATAAGTATAAATATCAAATTTTATATGCTAGATATGTAATAGATATGACTTATGTGATATGTAAGCAAATTTTGCATATTTTAACTCTTGAAAATTAAAATGATGTTTTACTCAGATCTAATAAGAGTCTGTTCATCTCTGATCGAATTGATTTAAAAATTGATCAAAGGAAGGATAAAAAATTTTAGTTTTGTAGCTTGCTAAATTTGCTACAATATGCCTCGATATTAATCTCAATTCATGAAGTATGAAATTTTTTTATTATTTCAGGGTCAAACAAATCTTATTTATTCACATATCTAACATCTAAACTCTTACAACTATAGTTATAGGGCTTGGGTGTCACGAACCATGAACAGGGGCGGAATCACCATTATTTTTCAGAAGGGCAAACTCATTATATAATTCAAAAGAATTACTTAGGTGTCATATATGTAAATATGTAGAAATTTTGTGTATATATGTAAATATGTAGAAATTTTGTGTATATGTAAATAACCCAAAAAAATCAAAGTTGAGGTCCCACATTTTTTTTTCTTTAATTTAAGAAAGTGCAACTCCAAGCAGCGCCAATTAAGGGTCCGTTTAGGACTCCATTGTTGTTGTCTTATTGTGGATTTTACCACTTGGAGAAATAAAAGCAATGTTTGGTTCCTCTTTTATCGCCAACGTTATGTTGGTCGGAGGCCGCGTCAAGTAGAACCTGGAAAGGAAAGGGGGAGGGTGCAATCCGCAGCTAGAGCTCAATTGTGAAGTGCCTTTGACGTTGTTGCCCCTTCAGATTTCTGGTAATCCCACTCTATACCTTACCACTCCTCTATTCTCACCTGTATTGTTAGGGCTGAAATCTGGTACCGCTCCCCTCCCTTCGTTCGGTGTCAATGACTTATTGCAACCTTCCGGTAAAGTTTTCTTCTCCATGATTTTTTTTAGCTTCATTTGTTGCCTACCTCTATATTTCTTTTTTCCTTTGTTAAGATTTTGACATAGCTTATTACATATGTTTTTATGCAAAGTTATGGTTTATAAGATAGATTAGTTAGCAACATCCTTACTTGTTATGATCCATCACTAGAAGTAACGAGATGAAATATATATGAGCAATGCTCACTTTTTCATTTCATATTTCTTGTTGGTTTATTTTTTTTGGATAGTTATACGAGCACAAGTTTTCAGCTTTTTTGACAAATTATGCTGGTTGAATTGTTTGTTTTTGCCTCCTCCTAAGTGTAGAGTAATATTTTAAGGAGAGAATATTGAGCACTACTGATTTTCCTTACTTTATATGATACTTTTACAAGTATAATTGCATATTTTTGGCTACACAATTGAAGTTTGCATGATAGGTAAGCTAGCGGAATCTTTACATGTTCTAATCAATCAATAGAAGCAGTGGAATGAAATACCTATACAAGCAATGCTTATATGTTTGTTTCAGATTTCTTTACTACTTTTTTTGTTTAAATAGAAATTTGAGCGCTTTTTTTCAATTTTTTCTAACAAATTATGTTGCCCAAATTGCTTGCTCTTGCCTTCTGCTCAGTGTGGAGTAGTATCTCGGGGGGAGAATGTTGAACACTGGTTATTTTTTTAAGTTTAACTGAGACTTTTATAAACAGAGTTGCATATGTTTTGCTCCACAATTGAATGTTTGTGTCCTATATAAGTTAGCAACATCATTGTCTGTCCTAA